CAGGGGGGTTGGACTAGATGACCCACAGAGGTCCCTTCCAACCCCTAACATTCTGTGATATTAACAGAGGAGAAAATTATACACAGAGCGGTTAGTAGCTGCAGTACTTCTGCTCTACTATCTGCCCATTACTTGCCAGCCTAAATTAAAATTGTTGGTTTCAAAACTGAAAGCCCTAAACATATCTACTCTACTGAAAAAAGGGTACAGTTACAGCTGTGATGATCAACAAACACGATTCCCCTTAGTTTAAAGATCAAGTAGCAGGCAGAAATTTCAAACCCTGGATTACAACGTTTAAAAGATTTTACAAAGCCCAAGTCTACTGATACAGCCTAAAAACAAAGGATTCTCCAAAGGTTACATGAAGTCCTCCCATGGGACAAGTCATGAAGTTAAACATTGCAAAAGCATAACTGAACACCTAATACTAACCTGAGTTTGTAACTCAAACATTGGCTACAAGAGGAAATTGTATAAAAACATTCTAGAAACCAGTCTGGTTTAACTAGAACCATCTTTACCTGTATGCATTCTTGGAAACTGGCCGAGGGTCAAACTTGAATAGAAGGATGCACATTGAAGAATTGATCTTTAAAGCTTGCTTCTTCCACAAAAGCTCAGTGCAAGGTCATTCTGTAATAGCCTGTAAAGTAAATAAAGATTAACTGTTATACTGCAAATTATAACAAGATAACCTTGCTTCTGTGCTGAAGCTTAAGGATTGCAATGTTCTCACCAATAGCTCTCAGTTAAAATAAATAAAACAGGACTTCCCAAATAGATTTCTTTCATTGAATGGTTTACTACCAAAATTCTTATGGTGGTTGTTTCAAAGTCATGCTTCGCTAATTCAGATTTTTAGGAAAGAAACAAGCATCAGGAACACACTGACAAAGTCTAAAATTCTATCAACACATGAAAGAAAGACTATTCTGTAATTTTCTGCTCATTACCAGTAAAGTACCACTACTTTTTTCTTCCCCATCTTCAGTAAGGCAAAATGCTTCTGTTAGAATAAAGGAGAAAATAAGACTCAAACTGTTGCTGAAGCTGGAAAAAGCCTAATCAAATACACTCCCAAACCTGTAAATAAACTATAATTAAAGTCCAAGAGAAAGTATTATTATGTTTATCATTGGGGAAAAACATCAGGTACAAGCAAAAATACGCTGGACCAGAATGCACATTTTGATGAAGAGTTTCCAGCACTTGTGGTACGTTTACAATTCTGGCCATGCTCAGATGGCATGACAGATGTGCTTTCTATTTCAAAACCACGTAACAGCTTTCCAATATTTTATGTTGCCCAAATGAAAATTCTTCCG